TCCCAGGGAACAAGCCCATGCTGAAAGAGTTAATATAAACTAAACAGGTGTATCAATGTTGATTTACTGTTAATGGTGCTCTAATTTAGATTCAACTGGATTCGTGAACTAGTAGGAAATCGATAGCTCCTCACAAAGCTGTAAGAGTGAAATATTGAGCTAATAAAATTACATTCTTAAGATATAGGTCATTATTTTATTTACTTCTGGATATATACTTCCATTACCACCCATACCACAGAACAGCTTCCACCATTAGCAGTACAAGAAACAATGCACATGGGCACAATACTGAAACATGCTGGACTTGCTGTAGGTGTAAATACATAAATGATCCTATGAGTCCTGAGTAGCAGAAAATGGAAATTGAAGACAAGTAAAGATATAACTTATGATTCCATATCATGACAAACATGTTTATCAAAAGGGGAGTGAAACACACAGTAAAAAAGAGAGGGGATCAAGAGACAAGATTATAAGAGTACGTGAATGCTGATCAACTAACAATATTCAAAACTCCCAGAATATGACAGGCTTGTAATGATAGAGTTAAAGTTCACCTGAAGCAGTAGTCCCATGAACTCAAGGTTTGAGAATGCATGCCATCTATCTTACTGATGTAAATAACAGCTATATGGAACTGAATGAAGCAACAGAGGTTTTATAAACATCCAGAAACCCATAGTAAACGTTCCACAATTCACAAAATTCAGAACCACTCCTCTAGCCTACAAAACGGCAAGTATCTGTGAATAAATGAAAGTCCAATTTAAAAGGATCTAATGAAACTCCAAGGGTAGTGAAATTTATGTCTGACCACCACTTCTGTACCTCCTGAGCTTTCACCAAAAGCAAAACCTTCTGGGATAGAAGGTCTTGAAACATCCATCACCAAGAAGCTAAGTCCCACTGCAAATGTTACATGTGAACAATACAAAAAGGCTGTTTGCTAGAAAAGTAACATTTACCAACATCACAAATGGAAACTGTACGCATTCCAAATGAGAATCTATTAATACCTGTAGATGCACAAAACAGAGCTGATGGTGTAAGAAAAATGAACACATTCACTGGTCAACCTAAAGTTTTCCCTCAGAATGGGTACAAGATAGAACAAGCTAATCATTTAGATAGTAATGAAAATACACACCTCATTAATGAAGGAAGTAACTAAAGTTCAGTGGTGGTTTAATCTTGAGGGCAGTATGGACCACCCTCAACTACTGTAAGTTTGAGGTAAATGTTAACTTTCGAAACACACTCACCTATTTTCACACTATAGCTAGAATCCCACATTGACAAGATGGAAGAGCTAATGATGGCAAGATCACACAGAATGCGTCTGCATAGAAAAGAGGTGTGTAGAAATGAGATATAGTAATAGCAAACTAGTGGGGTCCACATTACTTCTGGAAAAGGTATGCTCTTTGCCCAGACAACAAGAAATGTAATTCCTGGGTGGTAAAGGATAACCAGCCAAAGGCAAAACCCTAACATCATTAGAAGAACATGAATTTGTCCAGTCTCCAACTAGGCAGACAAGGTCCCATGTCTCCTCATTGGAATTACAGGGCTGAGGACCACTTTTTATTTTGTCTTGTGTAGTAACGTGGTATTATTGGAACCCAACCTGAAAGTTACAGAATGTTGCATGTCGAATCACTGAAATTACAAAGAGAAGGCAAGAAACACAAAAGTGTACAAATCCTCACCCCAACCAAAAAAAAAACCAAATGCAACAAACTGAACTCAACATTATAGGAATTGTCATTCCTCTCTCTCAACATGGAATTATGAACTGAAATCCTAACTCCCCATTACGAGAGGCAAGGCAACACCTCCTGCCCCAAGAATTATTAGGAGGATGTGGAATAAACTATGTCCAACACAGGAATTGAAGCTCTCAATGCGGAATGACAAGGATCCTCTTCTATGATCATCGAAATGAAAAGAATGACCAAAAAGAAGGGCCACTCTCAACTCAACATGATAGCAAAGAGTCATCTCTTAACCAGAATTACGAGGAGGCTCTCACGTAGACTGGTCCTGCTCCTACCATACATCTGGGAAAACCATCCAGTCTTTGAGTGGAATAATGAGTTCAAGCATCACTTGGGAAAAATAAACCCTTGTCTATTACTCCAGCAATTGGAAACTGGGAGTGGTAATGACTCCCATGCTCAGTAAAAGAAATGTGGGGATACTAGTGTTGGGGAGCCCCAAGAAATGATGCTCTGAAAATAGTGCAATAGGTGAACCACATTCCCTATTATTAAAAGCAAACCAACCCCTATTTATTCCATCTAGGGGTCAACTAGGATGGGCAAAATCCCCCCTAAGATTTACATATGATAGTCCATGAGTGGTGGTCCAGTAGCATATTTGTCTTTGTGTTATAACTGTTTACCACCTGGAAAGTACACAAGGTGATCTTATGGAACACCCCATCTCAACAGAGCTCGTTGCTACCAGGAAATTTTTTTATTAGTCGGCTGATAGCTAGTGTGGATTTGGAAGGAAGCATACCTGATAGGAAACACCCACCACCACTGAGTGAGATTCAAATGAAAATATTGAAAGAGTCCCTGAAACAGAAGAGAAATAAACACAAAATATTGCTCAAATCACTTTGAAAAACTATTACAATGAAGTTTAATTTTTATTAAGAAATTAAATGAAAATAGACAACAAACATCAGACTCAAGAAGACATGTCTACAAAAAAAAAAAAAAGGAAATCGCCTAAAACATAGGTATAACTAAAGCTATTCAACACTGAAGAGAAACACGCAGCAAGCACATAAAACCTTCGTCATAACATTCTGCTGTCGAGAATAGAAAGTACTAATGAGGAGCTTATATATGGATCTAGAATACGGGGTGTACTGGGGGAGGTGGAGTGAATCACAAGATTTCACTTGCTTTGGGCAATATAGTGGGGTATAAAGGCTGGAGCAAGCAAGGTAAGATTCATACCAATGCTTAGATGGGCAAAGAAGAAAATCTTTCATCGGGATAAAGCTATAATGTGAGGAGAGGAGGGTGTTTCAGAAATATCGTTTAACACACACCTATAGGAAACATTATGGAGCTAAAGACCTCAATAAAAGATGCCATCGCCTCTGTAACTGTGAACATGTTGTAGCAAACGTGGACTGAAATTGAATATCGATTAGATGTGATAAGAGCCACTAATGATGCAAACGTAGCAGTCTACTGACATGTCAATAAAAACTGTTTGTGTTGGGCTACAAGATGTTGAAAACTGCATGGTTGTATTTCCTTAGTTATTTAATTATTAAATTTTAAAATAGGAAAGATAACTTTTAAACATCTTTTATATAAATAAAAGTATACACATAAAAGTTATGTTAACAAAATAGCCATTCTTGTTATGTTTTATTTACTATAGCATAAAATGTCTTGAGTATTCAGCTGCTTTCACCTTCACTTCAGTAATATTATATAAGTTATATAGTAGTCTGGTTCTATATGTCTGGCTAACTAGTAAGAATGCTCCTACTTATACTGGATTCATTGCTAACTTTTACACCAGCTTTCACATCCCCACATGTGCAATCAAACTGCTGCTAGCATATGCTCAAGCGGTTACATGGGGACAAGTGGAGAGTTTCCCAGATGATATCCATTGCATGAGTGAGATTGTTAAACCCTATTGTATCCACTATAATGTTCCAATTAGTGATGTGATTGTTTTGCTTTGATTGTTCTCATGGATGTTTTGACCCTTAAAAGGAATGAGGTGGATTGTTTATTACAAAATAGGTTCAGCAAATTAACATTATCATTACTATACTTGTGTTGAATTAAATTACAATTTGTGTTGTATTTGCAACAAAAAGTATCAAAGACATTTTGTAATTTTTGTAAAAATAAAGATTGAATAAAATTAAAATGTCTTAGTTTTGTGAATGGTGAGTTACACAAGTTTTACTTTAAAATACCCCAACCTCTATGTCTAAGCAAAAACAAAGGTTCTAGTTCAAGTTTATATGACAGGCATAGCATTATATTTCAATGACCATTTTAAAATAATCTTCAAAGTTAATTTTTGTATAATAGATGAACATGAAAACATACATAACATCAATATATATATCAACACATTGACATCTTTAACAGGAGGCCACTAATGCCTACTGGTAATATAGAAAATAATCAGCTATTACTTCTGAATTATCAAACACAGTCTCATAGCTATTAACACACTAATATCACAGAACATCATTCAAGCCAATAGGTAATACATGAAATAATCAGCTATTACTCCTGAATTATCAAACACAGTCTCATGGATATTAACACACTAATATGACAGAACATCATTCAAGCCAATAGGTAATACATAAAATAATCAGCTATTACTCCTGAATTATCAAACACAATCTCATAGCTATTAACACACTAATATCACAGAACATCATTCAAGCCAATAGGTAATACATAAAATAATCAGCTATTACTCCTGAGTTATAAAACACAATCTCCTGGATATTAACACACTAATATCACAGAACATCATTCAAGCCAATAGGTAATACATAAAATAATCAGCTATTACTCCTGAGTTATAAAACACAATCTCCTGGATATTAACACACTAATATCACAGAACATCATTCAAGCCAATAGGTAATACATAAAATAATCAGCTATTACTCCTGAATTAGAAAACACAATCTCACGGATATTAACACACTAATATCATAGAGCATCATTCAAGCCAATAGGTAATACATAAAATAATTATCTCAGTCCTTGAGCAGTATGTAATGCCACTGTCAGTCAACATATATAGAGATGTCAAAAGATGATTGAAGCAAAATAACAATACAGAAAGTAATAATCTTAAACTTATTTTCATATGAAACAGATCCTCTTACATGGATCATTATTATATTAAATGTTTACTTGAGTAAATAAGCAATAGATTTTATGAATTGAAAAGCACTTTCATACAAATAAAAAAGTGAAACTTACCAACACTTGATCCAGCAAACCCTCCTCATATCCTGGAAAGTACAAATAAAAATTACTTCTTAGAAATGACACATAAATAGCTGATATTAACATTCATTTATATTCAGCTTTCAGGAAAGTAATAAAACCTGTAAGTAATCTGACTTAAAATAATAATTAATTTCTGTTGCAAAATAAATTTCACAATATATATAAAATAATAAATATTTGGAGATTTTAACTGCTTTTAACAAGTTTCATAAATAAACATACGTGTAAACAATGCAACATCAATATAAAATTATATTTCTAATTTTAATTTCTTGTAGTAATACATGACTTACAATCAACAACAATTAAACCTTTTCAAAACTACTCTCCTTTGTAAAAGTCATAAATTATTATATATTTACTTTAAATATACTACAACACACACAAATAGATCTGTTACATATTTTAAAGTACAGTGTTAACTTAAACCAACAGTCATAACTCAAGCTGAAAGGAAAGATAGTGTTGCATTTGAACATCAATTTTTTCAACAAATTTTCGAAGATATTTAGTTCTATAATAAATTAATGTGGCACTAAGACATTAATGTAGAAATCTTCACAGCACTTTTATATGATGGATTCATTCAAACAACTTACTAAATAAAGTAAAATTGTTGTTTACTTTGGTAGTCAGTCTACCAGTCGAGATCACCCACCATAAAGTGTAATAGTGGTGAAAATGATCTTGCCCAAAAGTAGTTATACTAGAAACATAAATCTTTGTGATGGTCAGAGAATCTATAAAGTTTTTACTTTAATTTTTGAAGTCCACTAGTGAATCCAAGCTTCATTAGGTTTAAAGGGTTTTCTGTAGTTCAAGCAGCTATCTATAAACATCAGGACCTGTTTGCTAAACACACTCTTCAGTTAATTGCTTGTATATAATACTTGGTAGTAACTCTCTCTCTCTCTCTGTTCAGATAAAGATATCACATTTGTCAAAATAAACAGAAGCTGTCTGTATACAGTGTCAACAGATCTACCTATCATTCTTCAGATCATCATTTTTTTTGTTAACATCTGAAGAAAACATCTCATTTTTCAAGTAAGCATGTCTCATTGGGGATCATCTCTCCAGTTCTAGCAGCTGATGAATGCAATCTATCTTTCAGTTCATCATGTACAAATTGCCATTTCAGCTGGATGCAGAATAGATTCAACTCATCTATTCATTTGAGCACAATGGAATAATGATCTCGATAACAAGTATGTCACCCCATTATGTATAATTCACTTTGCTTAACATTTTCATAACTTGACGATCTTCATATGTCCAATTCCATAAAAGGTGTAACAATTAAACTACAACTTACACAACAACCAAAGCAACTCAGTGGTAAGAAATATGCAGAAGGAATGAAATAAGGCTCAAAATTAGTGGTAGCTAGCTGGAAAACTTCCAGTGGATTCTAATTTAGTCAGTGACTATCAAGAGATACTGACATTTTGTTGCCAGTTGAGAAACAGGCATTTTTATGTATATTCAGATGAAATGTTAACAATGGTAAAATTATTTAAAAACAAATTTTTTTCAAAGAAACCAGATACCATATAAAGTCTATACCACATTTCATGCAATTAAGTTTAGTACTTTCAGTGCAAAAATTTAAAAGACTAGAGAGATGCTTTGAGAACTTGCATAGTACAGAAAACATTGAGAAAAATTAAATCAAAATTTCATGAGGGAAATAATTCCCATCAGCTAACTAGTTATATGCACTAAAGGACAGTTTCCATAAGGCAACTTTTGTAAGATTTATGAGTTATGGTGGAAAACTGTTACAGCTTCACAAATAGTTGAACAGCTTCAGAAATAGTTGAATAACTTCAACATGCCATTAATATCTGATGAAGCAGTGCTGCTGTTACACATAACTTCAGAAATAGTTGAACAGTTTCAACATGTCATTAACATCTTATGAAGCAGTGCTGCTGTTACTTACAGCTTCAGAAATAGTTGAACAACTTCAACATGTCATTAACATCTGATGAAGCAGTGCTGCTGTTACAGCTTCAGAAATAGTTGAATAACTTCAACATGTCATTAATATCTGATGAAGCAGTGCTGCTGTTACTCATAACTTCAGAAATAGTTGAACAGTTTCAACATGTCATTAATATGATGAAGCAGTGCTGCTGTTAGTAACAGCAGCACTGCTTCATCAGATGTTAATGACATATTGAAGTTGTTCAACTATTTCTGAAGCTGCACTGCTTCATCAGATGTTAATGACATGTTGAAGTTGTTCAACTATTTCTGAAGCTGTAACCTGCTGTTACTCATAACTTCAGAAATAGTTAAACAACTTCAACATGTCATTAATCTGATGAAGCAGTGCTACTGTTACAGCTTCAGAAATAGTTGAACAACTTCAATATGTCATTAACATCTGATGAAGCAATGCTGCTGTTACTTACAGCTTCAGAAATAGTTGAACAACTTCAACATGTCATTAATCTGATGAAGCAGTGCTGCTGTTACAGCTTCAGAAATAGTTGAACAACTTCAACATGTCATTAATCTGATGAAGCAGTGCTGCTGTTACAGCTTCAGAAATAGTT